AAAGTGAATGCTGAAAGTTTCCATGTATTTTTCTGTAGATGGAGAACATTTATCGATAGGTGACAGTGTTCAGCCTTTCCATTATTTAGAGAGTAACAGTTGTGAGTTAGGAGTATGTCTTCCTCATTTTATCTGAGATTATACTTTCTTTGACTGAATCTCTAGACCCTGTATTTTGACGCTACACTTTTATAGTTTCTCTGCTAAAATGTGTGCCTTGTTTAATTGTCTTGTATTTGGGTTATTTTTCAAGTATGAACATGCTTACTGATTTCAGTAGGACTACTTTTGCACATAAGCTGAACAGATACAAATACAAATGTAACCAGCCAATACTGAGCCTTCTTTTCTGATATTAAAGCTCCCACCTATTCTGATCACTCTGATATTATGTCTCTTGATCAACTCCAGTGACTCTTTTAGTGTGTGTTTATTGGTGCTGCAGTGTTAATATTACTGACACCAGCAGTGAGTAGAATACTGTAGAGTATTAGCATGACGTGGCTTCATATCTTAAGAAAATTTACAACATCTTAACCTGCCATTACTTAAAACTAATTCTTTTAAAAATTTGAGTTACAGTATTTCAGACTACTAAATTTTCCTAATCTTCAGTTTATTGCTGAAAAGTTGAATCAAATGTTAAAAATAAGGAGGTATATCTGGCTATTGTCAGGTGAGATGCTGTATGTGATTAAATAAGCGTGGACTGTTAAAAAATCTGATATAAGTACTAGTAAAAAAAAAAGTGTAAATGTTGAACTACTGTACTGGTGGATAGGTGTGTGACAGTAAAACAAAAAAACAGCACAGGAAAAGAAAACTTGAGAGAATGCTGAAAGATGCAGAAACTTGGTGAGAAGCACAGCTAACCTGTTTGATAATAAACGGCTGTAAGAATACAGAAGACTTTTAGAGTATGTGGATGGATTTTATTATACATAGAACACATTTGAAAGTACATAAGGCAGATGTTATATTAAATTGGAAGCTATTAAAAGTTGAACTAGAAAATATATCTCTTAAAGTTTGGATTTGATATTCTAACCACCAAAAGGACATAATAAAAATGTATGGTCAGATGCTATTGAGAGTGTTTATTATTGAATCACAGAATAGCTGCATTTTGAAGATGCCTCTGGAACTCATCTTGTCCAACCCCTGCTCAAGCAGGGTCATCTAGAGCTGAATGCCCAGGACTGTGTCCAGATGGGTTTTGAGTATCTTCCAAGGACAGAGACTCCACAGCCTCTCTGGGCATTCCATGCCAGAGCTCAGTCAAATGTGCCTTTTAGAACAAATAATATGAAAAGTAGAGTTAAAATGCATATTTTCTTCCTGTTGTTAAAGAGATGAATGGCATTAATTCAGTGTATTCAATTAGAAGCATTTAAATTCATTTGTCAAATCTTAGACTTTAGCTCCAGGAGCAGTTAATTAGCCTAAATGGGCCCTGCTGGTGTAGAAGGCACTTCTCTCTGTTTGTCCCTGCCTGTTGAGTTTCCATTCCTTTCCTTACTCTGGCCTTATGACTACATGGTAAAATAGATTAAAAAAAATTATCCAATGACAGGTTTACCTGGGGAAGGTGAGAAGGAATGAGGTTTGTTTTCAGATGGCAGGAATGGGTGGACAGAATCAGGGGCTGTGTCTTCATACTTCGGCAGCTTCAACTTACAGTGTATTAAACTACTCATGAAATTTTTATTTAGAAGAGAAAGAAGGAAAAAAGCACACAAAAAAAGTCAAAGAGATTAAATGCGCAGTTCAGGATGAGAAGACAGGAAAACAATGAAGATGTGAAATAAAAATTTTTCAACTCATTGTTCTTGAAACTGTTGTGTTGCAAACTTAGAATGTACATAAAGCAAATACTTCAATTTTATTTATTTTGTAACTTTTAAAATATATTTTGAAGTGTTTCAGATGCTTGCTTTCATACTTGGTAACAGTCCAGGTTTTGACTCAGCATTTCGTTGCAACAGAGGAATGTGGCTTATCTATCATATCTACAACCAGACATGACTGTCTTTTAAAATAGATGGCTGTAAACTCATACAGGATTTGTCAGTTAACTGCAAATGTGTCGCTGAAAGATAGCCAAAAGATTTTGTAATCATAAAATGTACATTTTTATAGTGTTATTTTAAAACTATGTGAAATCAGAGAAGTTGAATACTCAGGTGCATTAACCCTTCTTGCCTTTGATGTTCACAGCAACGACTGTATAAACCTTTGAAAAATAGCCCACAACCAAGCAAGCAAAGCCAACTAGCATTAGAGCTGTTTCCTTCAAAATTATTAACTCAGTTTAAAGTTCATTTAATAAGCTGCCCAGGAGGTGCTGCAGCAAATATGGGCACATATTGACATATTCTTTTCATTCAGACATTCACTTACTCTTTTGTTAAGTATTTAATGATTTCCTTACTGACATACGTTAAATAAGAACTGTAGGCTAGAAAACCTCTACATTAAAAATGGAGGAAAAAATACAGGTATTTTTAAGAGACATTAATAAAATACCTTCTGGATCATGACTGCTTCTTTCTTTTATACCTTTATAAAGCATGCTAGAATACAATTAGGTTTTGTTGTTTGACAGTTGTGAGGCAAATTGCAGGGGAGAAATTGATCTGTTCTGGTGCCCTAAATATTGCCATGTGCAGTGCTGTGCGATCAAGTACTCTTCACTACAAAAAAGACAAAGAATATAAAAGGAGCAGGAGCTCTGTCAAAGCTGTAACAATGATTTTCTAGCCTGTGAGTGAGTCCCTGAGGGAAAACAGAGCTTAAATATCAGAAAATCATCCTATACGTGTATAAATTATAAACATGAAACCTTCAAAATCAGTTTAAAATACAAAGGAAATATCTGAAAGCAGGAAAAAGGAGAGATGTCTGTACTGACCAGGAAGCGAAGGGCACTGGGGAGTCTTGGGGCAGGACTTAGTGCTGAGATGGTCACAAACTGACCTGAAACGGATGAAAACTGGGATGTGTTCGGGTATGTTCCAGCAGTTGCAACCAGTCGTTTCTTCAGTCACCTTTGAAATAAAAAGAAAGTTAGAAACGAGTTACACTTAACTGAATCTATAGTAGAAAGATTTTAATTTTGAAAAGGTAATTCTGCAATTTTCTAATAAAACAAACTAACTTTGAATAAGTGAAAATAACAATGGATAATTACAGAGCCCAAACTATCCTGCTATGCAACATCTTAGCTTTGAGTGCCAAGGATCTATAAAGCAGGTGGCTGCATACAGCTGCCAAATACCATCTTAACCTCATTAGCAGTCAGTAAAGCAACATCAGAAAAGCAAGTTGCAGATGGCAGCGAAAGAAAAGGCACATAAGAACCAACAAAGAATCCTTAAGTATGTACCTTTACTTGCAAAATAAAGTAATTTAGTATAAATGTCTTAATATCTGTAGAGGCAAAATATTCCTGCTTTGAATGAAGGTAGCTTTGAGTGGAGGTCTGTTTCTGGCTAACACTAGTGAAAAACAGCTGCAAGCTTGCTTTCATTATGCGCACAAATGTAGCAGGAAAGATAATATTTATTATGAATTATGATTCTGTTTTATTTAAATAGGGAATTGGTATTTTCTCTCACACAGAGAACTCCTTTCTAGCTGGACTCCATTCTATTGCAATTTTTAACTTGTTTGTTTGTTTCTTCTCTTAGCAACTTGTTCCCTATTAAAGTCAGTTAATGCACTAAACCTGCTCCTGTTTGGATACATTTAGTGTACTCCTTATTCCTCAACCCCATCTTATATGCAGGAAGGAGAAGGTAATAAATAAATAAATATATGTACACAGATAGTGCCAAATTTCAGACTTCGTTGCCTAGTTGGCCTTAGCCTTGATCTTTTACAGAAGTTTTAACAGGAGGTGGCAAGAGGGATAGAAATGTAATCAGTTGGGCTGTTACAGAGAAACATTGTGGCTAAGTACTTTCTTGGCAGAGTGTTGCTGTTTTTATCCATTCAGCAAATGTAATTTATTTATACATCTGTCAATAAATACAAGGTGGCATCCAATAATGAGTACAGCAAGGATTTAAGCTGGAGTGTATTGCTGTGTTTGACACAAAGGTCAAACTTGGGAAAGGGGCTTGAAATTAACATTTCTTGAAAACTATTTTTCCTTCCACTGAGGCTATCTCTTAATTCCAGCAATTTTCTCTGTTTGATAAGCAGAGAGAGCATACATTTTGATTATATGAAGGAGGGAGGTAGTGATGAAACTTTAAAAAATTTCAACTGGCATTGCATTCTGGTGATAAGAATGGGACTTTATGCAGCACAGAAGAGATTACCTGAAGTAGAATTGGGAAGCAAATTGTATTTACAAAAGATTTTCCTAATAGGTGTTCAAAACAGGCTATTCACTCACATATTCTGCTGAGCTTGACTAGAAATAACTTCATTTCAAAAAGGACAAATCTGATTGAAGGTAAAAGCATTCCCTTCTCACAGATACTTGTCTAAAGGATTTGCATTAAATTTTCTTGATGGGAGCACAGTAGTATTTTATTCTGCATCTGCATGAACTGGTAATGTGGAAAATAAAAATACAAATCGTGTCCTTGATTGCTTCATGCTTCAACCACTTGAATTACTAGATTGATGTCTGCAATTATGGAAGAGATGTTGCAATATGATAGTTTGACAATAACTGTCACAATTATATTACCAAAATAGAGATTCAACTTATTCTTGAAGTTAGGAGTATTGAAATTACATTTTAAGGATCAGGCGGATCTTCCTGTGGTTTTGTCTTGGATTTAATGTAGCCAGGGTATTTTTAAAGAACTACAGTATGTCTAAATGTTGTCAGTTACTAGTAGGATACACAGATGTGAAAGATGTCTTGTGCTGCAAAGTTCCATGAGGTATTATACAAGACTTGTGAAATACCTTGTCATGGTAAGTATAAACAAGATGTACTTGTGCTACTTCTGAAATCGTTACGTTTTTCTCCCTATGTATAGATCCTGGAATTGGTGAAGGGCATGCATTACCAGCTGGCCTGTCAGAAGTACTTTGAGCTGACGCATGATGTAAGTAGCTGCTAATTTTTGTTGTACTATAATCGCTGTCTTTATCTTGAGGAAGCCTTGCAAATCATGCATGAAGTACAGAGACTATTTGCAGTTTTCACATCCATCATTAGCTGTATTGCCTTGTTAGTTTTAATTTCAATAATTTCAAACACTCTTTTGTAATATTCTGCGTTTATCTATTGATGTTATTAATACCCTGAACATTACAAGATGTAGTAAAAGGTTATGCTTTCTTCCTGAAAACATCAATATTGTTGAATTTTGTCTATTTCAAACCGTTTAACTTTTTCAGTATCCTGGTTTTAAACAAGTTTGTGTTTTTTAATCTGGTATGCAGGTTTGATATTTTGAGATATACCTCAAAAAATAAACAAAAAGGATCTAAAAAGTGTCATTAAAACTCTAATCTCCCAGCACCTACATAGTTAATATTGTTAATTTTCACTTTTTTTTCCCACTTCTTTAGTCATGTGTTACTAGTTTTTAAATAAAGACGAACATTCTCAGAGCTTTCCCATTTGCGTAGTCATAGGTAAAGAAAAATATTAAATTAAATCCTTCACAAAATTGTTATTAGCAAATGGCTACAGTCCATCTCTATGTAATTTCTTGATTCAAAGAACCAGCTTTTGCATTGGTTCAAGATTCCTTGTCATCAAGAAAAAACAATGGAGCACAGCCCTTCTTATATCTTTGTTCTCTCCACAACTCAAAAAATGGAAACATCCCTTTCAAACAGACTATGGAACAGCCTTGCTAAAGATACGGATGAAGATGCGATGACCCACCCAGAGATATCTACCATTGACTTTTTTGTTCTTGCTCGCTTTCACATTTGATTTAAATTGAACTGTTTGTCTCCCCCATATTCCAGCAATCATATGTGTGAATGTATAGCAAAGATATACTCTGAACCCATATCCAGTGTTGTTTTGGCAGCTGTAATTTGAGAGGAACACTTTGTCTTGCAGTCTTAGAAAATGATAAAATATGTCTAATATTCTGGAAGGAAATTCAAAATTATGTATAATTTGAAAATTAGATACTACTTGCCATGTGTAAGGCTAAGTCAGTAGAAATAATATTTTTCCAAGATGACTATAGACTCCAAGGTCAATCTTCACCAAAGGATAAATCAGCACAGTGCTGAAGTTCTGTTGCATTTTAGGAAAGCTATCTCTCCATTCTTCTATGGCAAATTCCAGAAAAGCATTCTTTTTTTCAGTCTTGTGGTAATATAAATATCTGTCTGTGCTGCTTGCAGTAAGAGTCATCTTTCTGCTTTGCTGTTGGTAAGTCTTTTAACTTCAGTGAGAGAAAGCAGAAGGCCAGTATGTGCAAAACGTGTCGAATCCAAAAAAAGTCTTGTGTTAGTATCGCTTACTAGATGGAATAAACAGTTCTGTCCAAAGTGACAGGCCTTTTCACTTGGATCAATACATGTTATAAGCTTAAATTTTTGACTGCTCAGAAAATACATTTTTCTTTGGGCATAGTGAATTCCAGATGGATTTACAGGTGTAAATGGATAAAGCTGTTAGAGAAATCTAGTGTCTCTATTTCTGGTAGTAAATTTCAGGTAACTTACAGCTAAGTTAATGATGCAGCTTTTAAAATTGATGTGTTTTGATCTGTATTGCCTAAAAGCATTGTAAAACTTAGAAAAATTAACATGAGCAGTCTCACATAAAAAAAGCCAGGAAATCTGTGTATGTTTCACCTCCTTTTTTGTGGTCAAATTTCTTGTGTATTTCCACCCAGAGCAGACTATTTTTATTCAGAGAACCTTGTTGAAAATTACGCAGAACAGAATTGTTTATGTATCACTAGATCATAAATGAAGGTGATGATGATGAACAAAAGTTCCCCTTTCTCTCTTCGGGCTTTCAAAAAAAGGTGATAAAATGAACAGGCAGATTTTTTTTTTTTTTAATTAAAATAGGGTACATTGGGTCATACTACAGTTTTAACTAACAACCTGTAAAGAGCTTTTAGCCAGATACTGTCAAATCACCTCTGAAAACATGGTTGTAGGTTCCATTCACTCAATGAGCTTCTTCTGTAGCTTATTCCAATTTGTTGGCGAAAGAAGAGTTTAGAACAAAATTAAGAGTTAAAAAGTCTTAAAAAGTTAAATTGGTCTGAAGAAAATGAGATTTTAAGGTTAAAAAAATAGAACTAATTAAAAGCTTCTTCTGGGAAAGCCAGCTTTTCACTGTATCACTTCTTTTTAAGCCTTTTTGGTGTAAAGAAGTAGTTTAGTTCCCACATAATGGAGATTGGAGCATGAGTGAAAGCTGGCTGGATGAAACTCATCCAGATAAGACTGAAATGAAATTTAGTGGTGGCTTCAGGTTTCTTTTCTTTTGAGTGCCAAATTAGCATGCTAGGCCTGTCACTTATTTTTAAGATTTTTCAAGCAAGGTCACTTACTAGAGTTGCTATTGTCTTTTTCATGTCTGAATTAGATTTCGTTATACATGTTGCCGTTTTCTGATGGGGCTAAGCCAGGTGATGGGAATGCATTGAATCAGGGAGCCATTTAAAATGCACATTGATTATTTGCTTTATGATTTTTCACAAGTGGCTGAAACTTAAACTGATGGGTTTTGGCATATTAAATCAGCCACAGTGTATGTCCTCATAAGACGCTATGTGTGTGCAAAGTTGCTTGGAATGCTTGAATTGCCCCCACTCTTCTGGGAAAAAGGGAAGATAGTGCAGAAAATTGCTAGTATATGGCTCTTAGTCTTCCTTGGTTTCTGGTATCCCAGGTTTGGGAAGTTTTCCAACATTTTTAAGAGCAGTATTTTTCTTAAAATGTTCTTGGTATTCACATGAACTGGCAGGCAGATAAAGGTGCAGATTGCCTGAATGGGAGGTAGAAGCACCTTTTAAAGTAAGCATTTCCAACTTCTGAGCCCCTGAAAAGAGATACAGAGGTTATAACTGAGACTTAAGGGTATGTCAGAATAGCTTACTTCTAAAACTGAAAGTTTGTTGATTTGAAATATTTGATGAGCATTAATTAAATGTTATTTATCAAATAATTACAGAGCTGAAGGAATGCACCTGCTAAGTAGAAAGGAGCAATAAAAATATGCTGCACCTTATGCTAGTTTTCTGTATTCTTTTCCACTGAAGACTAAATGTTCTTTGGTGTTGGTTGTGCATCTAGTTTCAGCTGCTAATGTTGGCACTGTTGGAGCAGAGATAAGCTTGATCTGTTGGGCTTCTGTCTTAGCATGCTGCCTTGTAAATACTGCATTTGTGGCTACTGGAGAAAACAGAGAAAGAAGTGAATCTACCCATTTCCATTCACAGTTTCACACTGGTACTTATGATCTAGATTTATATTGTGAAGTTGTTACAACTTGTAGTAGTATTCTCTACTGCCATTTGAACTCTAGAGTTGTCTCAGTCCCTCTTTTGGGTAGGGAAATGCTATTTTAAGGTGTAGGTTCAATTGTACTACATCTGGAAAGGTATGACATTTTATATGTTTTGAGGTGTTATTTTTCTTTACTACAGCAAAGACAGTGTGAAATACTGTTTGAATATGCCAAAGCAGTTGTTTTATTTCCAACATGAAGGAAGAAATTTTGTGATGAAAGTAAATCTGTGTCATGCTAATATTTACCGGGATAGTATTTACAAACAGATGCTTTTTTCTTCAACAAAATTGGAACTTATTAAATTGCTAATTAATTTGTTCTTGAATGTGAAAAAATAATATTTTTTTAAATAAATATAATAACTCAGTGTTCCTTTCCTTTTATGTGCAGGTTGATGACATTGGATTTTCTCTGAATCATCCTAATCAGTATTTTACAGAGAGTCAAAGGCTCTTAAGTGGTGGTAGAGAACTGAAGAAGGAACTAAATAATTCAGGAAACTCTCAACAAAAAAGTAATAGTCAGGAAAGCATGAATTCAAATTCAACTCCCACCTCTTCAAGTACAACAGCTGATGCAGAACTGGAGGGACTGGAGGCATACTTCACTGAAGACTAAGCAGTGTGTTATTTGTTTTTTTGTTTTGTTTGTTTGGGGTTTTTTCTTTCTTTCTTTCTTTCATTCTTTCCCTTCTTTAGCTGGATTTGTCCTTATGCTAAGGAATATGCACTTCACTACCTGGAAGACCCAGACATCTAGTGCTTTGAATAGCCTGAAGAAAAGAAAGATAGGTATTGAAGCTGTAATTACATCCAGTACTTATTTTTGCTGCTTCAGGATACTGTTTCTTATGGCATGTTGAAGGATGGGAAATGAAAAGTTCCTTCCCAATTATTAGGTAATTTTTGCCTGACTTGCCTCTTTTGTTTTTCTTCAAATTGTTTAAATATTTTTATCCCATTTTGTGGTCACTTTTATATGTTTCTTCTTAATAAATAAATTGCAGAGCAAAAATTTGTGGTGTTTTCTTTTTAGCTGTATTTGGATGGTAATTAAGTAGGAGTTCTTACGATCAAAATTACCCTCTGGAGGAGTGAGTCTGTCTGTCTCTTTTCTATATGAGGAGCTTAGGGAAATCAGTTTCCTAAATTGCATGCCTTGAACTAAATTTAGAGAGCCGGTTTTGGTGCTTGAATTAGAACATTATCAGAGTTTAGACACCAGTATGTAAGAAGGTAATCCACATAGCTGATGCTCTACCAACTGACTCATCTTGAAGAAGCTAAAAACTTATTAGTGTATATTCCTTTAAAAGTTTCCATAATGTCTGAGCGTGGCTGGAGCCTCCTGTGTCCTGCTAAGCTAAACAGCTGTCTGAATGCAGCTTTGGGTCACCTAAATTCCACCCATTCCCCCAAAGCCGAGGTCACCAAACACACGAACGGCATTAAATCAAGCAGCAGCCACTGTGCGGTGGGTGGAAGCTCTGAGTAGAGCTGGTATTTTGTATCAGGCTGTTAGAGTATTCTCCTGGGGATTTGAAAGGCGTGAATTTTATTTTATCTGATGCCTAAGGAGTTTCAGGACAACATTACACCCTCCCTAGAGAGTGACCTAGCTACTGGTATAGCCCTGTAACCACATAAACACAGTATTGCCATTGCTAGTAACTTGCAGTAACTCTGCCAAGGCCTTAGCATGAAGACTCACTGAGCTTGATTATTCTGGGCTTATCTTGCCTTACCTAAAGCTTTGTTTTAGCCATAATGGCAACTGTCAAATGAGAGCTTAGCTTTGGACAATTGTGTGGTGTACTGCCTATGTTTATGATGATTTTGATATATTTCTGTAGCTAATGGCTAGTAAGTAATAAGTAGTTATTTTTTGTAGAATGAATTGATCTATGATCTTAGGTGCCAGAGACCCCACGGGTATAAACAAGTCATCCATGGCCAAGTGCTGTTCCTTAAAGAAATGCAACCTAAAGAGTTGTACAAAATGAGTTTTTTAGGGAAAAGAGAAGAAAGAACAAATATACAATGTGAGTAAACCACACTGTATATGTAATTATTTGGCTGTAATGTGGAATTGCCAGACCAATGAAGAAAGAACAGCAAGTAAAACATTTTTGGAAATGTGTAGTATTACACCAGGTGGACTCTAGGGAGAAGAAAGAACGATCCCCACCATCAGCATCCTACTCCTGATGAACAACGTAGGACTCCTGACGGCGTGCTGTTGATCCCAGGACCCCAAGGTGCAGCGGAAACATGTGTGCAACACTACAGAAAGAGATAGATAGATACAAATGTGTGAGTATATAATGTTTGCTAGTTGTGTTATGTTAGAGGTTTTATTTTCTCTACAATAATTGACTGATTTAGACTATTAATATTGTGACTGGACTAAAGAATATTTGATTATTGTTAAGATTTTGGGCCAATTGTAAACCTTTGGCTTCTCATATGTAGAGTGTTCCTTTAAGGGCATGTAACTTGCACAGGGCTAGTGCAACACCAGGCTTTAAAAACCATGTCATTTGTTGTTAGAAGAGGATCTGCCAGGATTCACTGTCCCTTTTCTCTTCCTTGAATTATTCCTTAATTTATTTAGGACTGTTTTGTGTAAACTACCAAACCTCTTTCTCTTTGGATATCGTATATCCGAAGGAGTTGTAGAAATCCACCCTGGGCAAAGGCTCTGCGCCTGGATCCTGGAGGGTGGTTGTTCAGGGCCCAAGAAACAAGGAATTACAACTGTGGGCTTGGTTTCTCCTGTTGGTAAAGCTCCTGGCAGCACCCTCCCTGATGTGTGGAAGTCCAGTGGTTGTATTAGATGGTTAAGAAACTTGACCTTAGGGTTTTGAAGTGTCCTTTCAAGTGCTAACTGAACTCTAATTTTATGTTACTGAATACCGGAGTTTGAGGTGCCTTAGTGGACATGGTGGATCCTTTTAATAGAAGTGAAACTGTTTCAGACCTGCAGTGAGATTGATGTTCCTTAGTGAAACAACTGGGAGAGGAATGAGGTGGTCGAAACACTGAATGTAGGTGGTGTTTCCCATCCAAGGGAAACTGCTATTTCTGATTCAGTAGAAACGTTTCTTTTATACCCGAACCCTACTCATGTAGACATTGTCACTTGCGTGTGAATAAAACTGCTAGCGCTTCATTGCTGAGCTTTCCAGGTACTTTGAAATCTGTTATGTTGGGAATGGGTGGCTTGTTCACGTATTCTACCTTGCATTGCTACATTAGCAGAATAAAGTTATTTTTACGAAGTCAAGCATAAAATTTACAAATAAGTTCTATTACAAGGAAGGGAATATAACATCACAAATCCTCTGAGTGAAAAATCTTCATCTGAAATGCAACAAACATAACAGTATGTGACACAGCCTTTGTCCTTCATTGCTTTACTTCATTATTGTGAGTTTACCTCTCTTGATTAATAGTACTACAAATTGCTTTAAACTGTATTTTCTTCCCTGTTTATTACCTGTCAGGTGGACTATAATAAAATATATAGCAGAAAAACGTACAAATTATAGCATACAGTTGCAAGTAACTAGCAAAGGATTTAAATTAATGCTTTTGTTGCTGTTGGAAGAAAAATAGCAATTTATTTTCATATTTCACACATTTTGACCATTTTGCTTTTTCTTTGAAAGCATAATATTTTGAATTTGATAATATAGAAAAACCCAAAATTAGAATCCTCCTTTTGAGCATTTGGACACCAAGGAATTGTTCCTCTTCTAGAGCTTTAAACATTTACTGCTTTGTAATTTCAATACAAATCACTTGTTCCTTGATTATAGAGCTGTTAGTGATTTTGCCTTTCCAATCTCAAAGAATATGTAAATCATTCATTTGAAAACATTTCCTGTGTTGTAGTAGTGCTATTAAAAAAAACAAAACATATTTAGTCAGAAGATAAGGATTCTGAAAAATGAGTGACCTTGATATGATTGTGCAGTAGTCAGAAATAACAACGAAACCAAACAAAAACCAAATCCCAAACCCTACTCTCACAAGTTGAAAATAAAATGTGTTTCTACAGTAAAGCATTGCAGTTGGGTCTGTTTGCAAGCATCAGCTGTCCTTCCAAATGGTTCTTTCTAGTAAACTTTTGTTATATTTTGCAACTTGAAAAAAAAAAACAAAAACAACAAGAGACATACAAACATCTGAAGTTTGAAACTATTCTGGTCCAAGACACCTGTGTGTTCTGGATCATTAAATGAAATATTAAGATAATATGTGGTTGCATTTCTGACAGGATGCACACAACTGCACCTGTTGCCAACCTGCACCATAGCCCTGCACAGCCATGGCGTTCATGTAGGAAGTACTCTTCTTTGCAACATCTGATCTTAAATGTACCACAGTTAAATTTAGAGGAGGATGTCTCAGAAGGAACGCCAATCCATAGCTTGTAATCTTTTGAAGTGCTAGCATCAAGGACAATAAAACAGTCTCTGACCTCAGAGCCTGTCAGGATCTAATGAAGAAGAGAACTTTACTATTGGGTCTTCCGTGGGAGGAAAGGTGAGGAGCTCACAAGTTGTGTGTGACTTTCAAAGTGCTCTGCTGCAATGTGGAGTGCAGCCAGTACCATGGCACGACGGGAGCGGATCTGTGGAGCTGAACAGTTGGTGCTGAGCATGTGGCGTTCCTTCTGTGCGTGCTTTGGGAGTTTTACTTTGGACTAATTTTACAATATGGCCGGAGCGGTTGTTAGGAGATAATGTTGCAGAGCGTGCCTTTTGGGTGAATTTCCTCAAAAAGGAATCCAGTTTGCATGCTTGCAGCCCTGCTTCCCCCCGGAGCAAGTGGGGATGACAGGTTCCCTTGAAGACGGTGAATCAGTCTCAAGCCCATGTAATTGAAAGACAGATGGCAGCAAGAATACATTTAGAGGATGAGATGGGGGGATGTCTTTGCGATGCAGGTACTCACTCTGTGGTGCTGTTATTTTCACATGGTTGTGAAATGTGAAATTTCTTGTGGTTTCTACTATCAAAATACTTATGGAAGTTTAATATGTCAAAGATTGTACAATTTGAAAGACCTATTTTTCCCACAAATCTGATAATATACAAAATGTAATAAAAGGATTCCAGAAACCCCGGGTTAGCTCCCTGGGATATCCCCCCCCCCCCCCCACAACACACCGGGACAAAAACAACACAACTTTTTTTTTAAACAGTTAAAACCTTGCACCTATGGCAAGAATTTTTTAGTTTTACTTAGACATGTTGGCCTGTCAAGGACATTTATGTTACCTGGGTTGCTATCACCTTCTGGTTTCCCAGCCCAGCTTTGTTGCAAGGATGTAAAGCTTAAAGAATTCATTTACGCTTTTTGTTTCTTCCTTACGTGTACTTAAGCAATTAGGGCAGGGCTGACAGAATCCAGAGCTTTTGGGCAAGCTTATCCCAATATAATTACTGATGCTTTCCTTGTTTTCCCAAGTGCGTATCAGAAATATCTAATGAATTACAGCTGGACAGATGTAATCAAGGTCTCGATATGCGTGGGTAGATTTCACATCATGATACCTAAGTTTTTTATTTTATTTTTTTAAAGCATATATTGTTGTGGCTTAGCCCCAGC